TACTATCATAATATACCGCTATAAAATTTCTAAATCAACAAACCTTCCTGTATAATTCAGAATTTTTAACGCTTTTAAAATGATTGGTATGTGTACAAAGTCAGTAGAATCAAACACAGACACATGGACAATCATCCAGGCATTTTTTCAAAAACTACTGCTCTGCTAGCTTATGATTAAGTTAGCTGAACAGGGACGGAATGAAATTAGCTTTTTTGCTTACACAGTAAATAGATGCTCATTAAATGCTTTTGAAATAGACCCGTTAGGAATTAAATACTCTTGTTATTTTTTTTTTCTGTAAATAAAAGATTTCGCGACTTGGACGTACGTTGACATACAAAAGAGACCAGAAATAGGTTTAAGCTATGAATTAAAAGCTAATTAAGTGCTCTAATGAGAAAATAAATGCTTAGTCTTTATTGAACCTCGAAACAGTACATGAATTACACCTGTTTTTAACTCCCATATTTGTCAACAGTCTTATTTATTGGAAAAATTATAGGTGCATTTAATTTGTGACTGGTCCGTTTTTAAAACATTTAATGAGAATTTAATTACTTTGTTTATTGTTTAAATAATTGCCCATGCTCTAGTAACCTAAGGTAGCAGAGAGGTAATTTTTAAAAAAATGGCTATTTAATTACTCATTAGGGCACATTATAAGCATTTAATGAGGAATTAATTGCCCACGTGTCTTTTTTTGATTCTGTTGAATTTTTTTTTTCATTTTTAACGGACACCGAAAAAAACGTTATAATATGTAGGTAAATACGAGTACATAACGTGTACGCAAGTATAGATAGACGTACTATCTTTTTTTAAATATTTACTATGTATTTTCTGTTGCTACTTTTCATTAATACTTTATAAAAGCACTCGAAATGATTTATTTTTTATTTTTAGTTTTACTCGTCAAATTTTTAAAAAAGGAGTGGTACGAGGAATTTATGAACGCGATATTTATGAAGTATTGGACGGTTATAAATCAGGAAACCTTGGAGAACGAATGGAAGAAGAATGGAAGAAGGCGAAGGAGAAGAAACTGCCCATAATTGTGTGCCTATTTAAAATGTTCGGCCTAGAGTACATGGCATACGGAATTATCGTCTTCCTGGTAAAAACTGTTCTCATGTAAGTTTACTATAATTGGGACAATCAAAATTTTATGATTGCTCCCGTGTGTAAGGCCAGAGATTTGCCTGTTGTAGCACTTAATGAATTTCTATAATAAAAATAGAACGCAACATTTATTTCTTTTTTCTCTTTGATATAATCTGACCAAGTCTCAGAAAAAACATAATAATGACTCCCTCGATAAAATTAGAATAAAAATGCTGCCAAGTTTACTTGATTAAATGAGTAAACAATAAAAAATTATCATTAACTTAATGGGAATTATTATTTTGATGTGTTTCTATTAAAAAGACGCAACCAGTACAAGTCAAACTTGTATTTTTTTACTTGAGAATTGTTTATTGGCTTTTATATCTATCCCTACAGTTGTACTTGACTTGAATGATGTTGATCTCGTCTTCGATGTATGGATTAAAAAGTAGCGGTGACAGTGTGCATCCCTGTCTGACTCCCTTCCTAATATTTACTTCTCTACGTAGCAACCCTAACGCTATAACTGCCTTTTGTTCTTTATACAAACTAAGTATCACTCTTTTATCTTTGTAACTAATCTCTACTAAAAACTCTTTCTAAATCTACAAACCCTATGTATGCACTCTCCTATTTTCATCGTATTCTCTAATGTTACACGTAAAGCTAGAATGGCCTCCCGCGTTCCTCTTATTCTTCTAAACCCAAATTGATCTTCCGCTAAAAGTTCTTCCATCCTACTCTGTATATTTCTACTGAAGATTTTTGACGCATGGGAAGTTAAACTAATTGTTTTAGGTATGGTTACCACCACGTTCCGTTTATAATCCTCTGGAACTTTCCCTGATTCGTAAATGAGACTAACTAGCTTAAAAATACGAACTCTAACCTCTTGTCCTGCATGTTTTAGAATTACCCCTGTATCCCATCTACACCTGGCGCCTTATTATTCTTTAAATTTTTTAATGCTACATCGAACTCTTCTCTCATTATGGGATAACCTAGCTCATCTACCTCCACACTATCTTTCTTCTCTAATATATCTCCTAACTCAGGGAATGCGTATAGGTTCTCTAAATATTCTTTCCACCTATCTGCCTTTTCCTCATTTTCTATCAAAATGACCTCTGTCTCGTTTCTTATATTATTACTACTGTAATTCTCTTTTAATTATATTATACGCCTCATCGGTTTTGCCTACTTCAAACTTTTCTTCTACTTCTTTACACATCCTATCAATCCACTGTTCCTTAGCTGCCTTACACTTCCTAACTATTTCCCACTTTATAACCTTATATCTTTCTCGCCCTTCTTCGTCTGTCCTGTTTTTGTATTTTCGCCTTTCTTCTAGTAATCCCAAAATCTCATTTGTTATCCGGGGTTTCCTACTTTCGTTTCGTTTAAGACCTAGTACATTTGCAACTGCTGACTTTAGGCATGTTTTTTGATGCAGTTCCATTCTGTCTCTATGTCCCTGACATCCCTTTCTCCAGCCGCCTTTAGTATTTCGTCTGTCCTTTTATCTAGCCTATCACGCGTTTCGTTACATTTTAGCTTTTCTAAGTCAAGACGTCTTCTACCTTCCCTCTTTTTCAGAATTTTCAATTTAAGATTGGTCTTATTAACTACTAAATTATGATCGCTATCTATATCTGCTCCTGGATAACTCCTACAGTCCTTCACTTGATTTTTAAATCTTTGCCTAACAAGTATGTAATCTAACTGATATCTCTCTAAATCACCTGGTATCTTCCACGTATAGTGCCTCCTAACGTGATGGTTAAATAAAGTATTCGCGACGGTTAAGTTATGCTTTTCGCAAAACTCTATCAGCCTTTCTCCCCTATCATTTCTATTGCCTAATCCAAAAGAACCTGCTATTGCATCCACTTTACCCTCACCTATTACTGCGTTAAAGTCTCCTACCACTATTTAATTTTCCTGCCCTTTCACTAAACTTAACACGTCTTCTATATCTGCATAAACCGCTTCTACGTCTTCATCACTGTAAGATGATGTAGGCATGTAGACCTGCACTAATACCGTTTTTACCGGCTTCGACTTTAATTTAACCATGACTATCCTATCACTTTTTTGTAAATAACTTTCTACACTCTGCCCTACTTTCCTACGCATTACAATTCCTACCTCCGAATTACCTTCCACCGATTCTGTACGTATCTCTTAAATATGTATAATAAATGACTTTCTTAATTTCGTTCCTAATGTGAAAATTAAATTTGGTCTTGATAACCTTATTGTATATCAAGCATCACTATGAGATCCTTGAAAGGATATGAGTAAATTTAAAACCAATTAATTCCTCAATGTCTGTTTTAACTAATACATATAACCGTTTTAATTTTGTTTGTAGGGTTGTAAAGCCATTATCAGTTGGAAAAATGATTTCTTATTTCGACCCTAACAAAGCAGAAAAAATGGAAAGGGAAGAGGCTCTGTTTTATGCATTTATATTTTTATTCAGTACATTTTGTTGGACTTTATTCATGCATAATCAAATGTTTTATATTCATCAATTTGTTTTGAAAATTAAAATTGCGTTAAGTGGATTAATATATAGAAAATCGTTAAGATTAAGCACTGCTTCAACTTTAAAGTTTACTAGCGGCCATGCGATTACATTAATAACAAAGGACGTTCAATGTTTCAATGCTGCCCCGCAATATGCTCACGATTTGTGGATTGGTGTAATACACGTTGGAGTAATGACTTATATAATTTATCTTCAAATTGGCGTTTCCGCCTTTGCTGGAGTTGGTTTTTTGGTTCTCCTTATTCCAGTACAAGGTAAGTGTTTTATGCGAAATGCACGGAGAAAACTAAATTTATGGCAATGCAAAAATTGCAATTTTCGAATGTAAATGACTAAATTTGCCGTAGAAATAATTGAATTTATTAGCTAACTTGTAATAATTACAATTTTGACATGTTTTTTTNTTTCAAGTCTCTTAATTATTACAATTAAATTTGTAATATCAATTAAAATACCTAGTAAATTTATTTCTGCTGGGATTTTATTTTTACAAATTCCGGTCAAAATTGTAATTTTTATTATTTTCGTTTACGAAACAATGAGGTAGTGGGATAAATTGTAAATATCGCGTCAATATTTAGGTAAATTTTCCTTTTTCGTTTTTCTTTTTTGTAAAAAATTAGGTACATCATTAATAAACTAAAAAGTTAAACGAGAAAGTCGTTCTGTTTGTCTACTGTAGAGTATTAATTTTATAGCTTTCTTATAATAAACGTTTATAGTTTTAAAAGTACCTTTCGATTTTAGCTCTCTTGGGAAAAGTAGCAGCGAAATTGCGAATAAAAACAGCTACTATGACTGATAAACGATTAAAATTAACTCAAGAAGTACTAAATGCTATAAAAGTAGTGAAAGTGTATACACTGGAAAACTCATTTATGAAAAGTTTAGAACAAATTCGCAGGTATATATAAAACAATTAATTGATCAAACGGATATTTAGTTATCAGTAAAACATAAATTCGAATTCTCAAAATGCATGAAATTAATTAATAATAAGAATTTATGTATATAAAGACTGGTTGTATTTTAAAATTTTGTTAGAGTGGACATTCGAACCATCAAAATGTCAAAGAATGTTGAATGACTACAAACATCCAGGAAAACGTATGAAGTCATTAATGACGTCTTCGTTTCGTTGTAACACTCAATGTACTTCACGTAAAGCAAACTTTACATAAAACCACTATAATTATTGGGAGGTTGTAACTATTTCCAATGGAGAATAGCAAATACTATTGTTTTTTTTTAAGGGTCGCTAATAATGATTTTGATAACAGATTTTGAAAATTCAAAACTGATCAGTATTTCGATAAAATATCACCTTTATTTGCATGAAAAACAATGTACAGTAAAAGTTCCTTATTCACGGTTTGCTTATTCGCGTTTTCAATATTCGCGGGTGAAAAAATTGCAACCCAGTTCCTGTATTGGCGACTAAAAATTTCATTATTCGCGGATGCATTCGGTAAACAGAAAAGGATTCGGTGTCATTTATTAAGGGGATTGACCGCAATCGACCGCTCATGTCTAGTGTGAATTTTTCCGAAAACATGGGTTTCTATTCTAAACATTGTGATTTAACGCTGCGAGATAAATATGTAATTTTTTGTATAGTAACAGACAAAGGTTCACACTAACTCGGTACGTTTTTGGTTTTCAATAATATGGTCATTAAAAGCTTATACAAGTACTTAAAGTTGATGCTTCTTGTAGGAAACCTTTTTTTTAATAGAAATTGAAAAATTAAAAAATGGCCTTCGACAGGCTTTAGAACAAAGCTTTATCTATCTTACTACAAAATTTCAAACCTCTATTCCAAACATTAAACTCATGATATCTAGAAGCGATAATCTGAATCCCCTTAATGTATCGGCATCTTTTGAGTTTGTACCTACTGTTGACTCGTGCCGAGGCGACTTTTATAAAAGATGTAACCGAGTGGACTAATTTCAAAATTCAATACAAGAAAAAATCACTAATTTTTTTAAACTCATGACTAAAGCTGATTATAACGATTAATTTAATTGCGAATTTATTAATGCATTGATTTTATTTTGATACATATTGGTTTTATTTCGGAACCTTAGAACGTATCCCCTATGATTAAAATCTATAAATATTCGTATTAATTTCAGGAAGGAAGTAATCAAATTAAAACACGTTTTCTACATTAGATTCGTTGCGTTGACGATAGGAAATCTTTGTGCAAAAATATCATTATGTCTCTGTATCGTATTCTATACAGCATTGGGTAAGCATATAAACGCCGAACAAGCTTTCGTAGTATGGACTTCATTTGGAACGTTAAGAGCCGTTTTAACCATTCATCTTCCTATGGGATTTAATCTTATTGCTGATATGATGGCGGCAGTAAAAAGAATAACGAAATTTATGCACGCCGAAGAAGTTAACGATTTAAAAACTTGTTCAGAGAAAAAGGAGCCGCTTGTCAACTTGGAAAAGGTATCGGTTGATGCAGGATTTGAAAAGACAGTTCTAAAGGATGTCACTTTGAAATTTAAATCGGGTTTAAATGTGGTAACAGGCTCTGTCGGATCTGGAAAATCTTTTCTATTAAAATTGTTACTGAATGAAATTTCGGCCAAAACGGGTGTTGTTGACGTTGTTGGTGAAGTGTCTTACGCTTCTCAAGAACCGTGGCTTTTCCCCGAAACAGTAAAACAAAACATAATTTTTTATAAACCATACGATGCAGATCGGTACCAAGAAGTTGTAAGGGTATGTGCATTAAGAAAAGATATTTCTATGCTCCCCGAGAGAGATTCCACATTCCTGATTGATAAAGGTTTAAATCTCAGTAAAGGTCAGCAAGCTCGAGTGAACTTAGCGAGAGCAGTGTACCATGATGCAGACATTTATTTGTTCGATGACTCATTATCAGCAGTAGATGCTCACGTGAGTGGTTACATTTTTGACGAATGCATCAGAAAGTTTCTCAAAGATAAAATATGCGTTTTCGTTACTCAAAATCACAGTTTTTTAAAATTTGCCCAGCAAGTGATAGTACTGGATGACGGAAGAGTCGAGTACGCCGGATCTTTCGATGAAATGCCAAAAATTAATTTAACAATAAGCGACAGTGTAGACGATAAAATTGACGAAAATACCATAAACGATTCAAACAAAACCATTGAATCGAAAAAGCAGGAAATTAAAGAAAAGGATGACGCGTACGAAGATAACGCCCTGTTAAAAGTTTTTAATAGTACCGAAAAAATTCCTAACCCATCAACGAAACTCTACCATGAACTACAAGCAGAAGGGAAAGTACCGTGGGAGACATACAAAAAATATTTCTTGTTCGGTGGTGGAATACCGACATTCATCGTCTTATTTATAATATATTCGTCTGCACAAATAACTATGAGTTGGTCGGACACGTTTATTAGGGGATGGTAAGTTTAAATCTTTAAAATTTCTTACACTGTAGCAGATTAAGGTATGAGAGCAAATCTGACTGGGTTTTATAAAGCACTGGCTTGTGAACACCAGAAATTGAATGCAACTTTCTATAATAATTTAAATTATATATCCCTAGACAAAAATTTTTAGTCTCTTTCCAATCTCTCAGAGTCTTTCAGCGTCTCTGAGAACGTCTCTCACAGTCTTTCACAATCTCTCACTTATTGTTTAGGTGTTTTATGGATCTCTCACAGTCTCTTTAAGAGAGAGTCAAACGATAAAATTGTTAATAATATATTAATTAATAATAGAAAGACTGGGATCTAAAATATGTTGAACTTAAAAAATCTCGTTCAAAGATTCGAGTCTCTCGTTCAAAGACTGGATACGAAATGAGGATCTCTCTATGAGCGACTCGAGTCTCTCGTTCAAAGACGCTAAACAGTTATTTTTTAGTCTCTCGACAGTCTCTCTCAGAGACACCAGAGAGACTCGATTAAAGACGGAAACTCAGTGTCGCTTTCAGAGACTCTGAGAGACTGAACATTTTTATCTCGGAATGTATACGTGGTCGTAGGAGGTAATTTGAATTGTTTTATTAATCTAATAAAAATAACACTTCATTTGTATTTTGTATGAGTATTTTTACCCCAGGCATTATTTAAAGTAAAGTATTCGGCTTCATATAAAGTTAGATATTAGAATCAATCTAGAATAACTATCTAAACAGTATGTAGGGAGTTGCATTCGTATAAGTAAAATAAAGTCAAACCAGAGTTAATTGGAGCCTTATAATCTGTGGCCTGGACTATTTATTTGCAATTGTAATTGTATTCCGATAAGATGATGATTTTTGCTATGAATTGGTTTGTTAAATTTGAATTTGTTTTTGTGAATTATTTGCAAAGAGGAAAGCCAATCTGAAAGATGGTCTCTCATGAGTTTGACCGAAATAGAAGGAATCACCATCCGAATATGTTAACCTCATAGGCTCAATTTTGTTCGTATTAATTCTTAATTTTGCCCTTGCTGGATCCTGTAAACCCCTTTCTTTCCCCTTTCCCCCCCCTGTTATCATGCTGCACATGAAAGGCTTAAGTTAGATTGTGGTATGGAGGATAGCTGTAATCCCTTTTGTGCCCCCTTTCCCCTCCTGTTATCGTATTGCTTTTAAATTTTTCTAATTGAAATTTGTTTTCAGGGTTGATATAGAACCAAAATTAGCAAAATTAGAGGCAAATAATCTCACCAATACGACAGAATTTGAAGAATTATCCCATAAACATACTTACATGTTAAACGAATATATTATTCTCGTTTTGGCCGCAGTTACGACGAATTTGGTGAAACTTTTTATTTATTTCGCTTACAATGCAAATATTGGTCGCAATTTACATAACACAATCATGTCGAAACTGTTAGCAGCACCGATGCTTTTCTTTGATATACATCTCTCCGGAAGTATACTGAATAAATTTTCAAGAGATCTATCTATTGTGGACGAAATGATTCCGTTTCACCTTCTACAGTGTATTAGGGTACGTTATCACTAATCACTTTGATCTTATTTTAACAAAAATTTATTGAATACAAGCACAAATAAAATTTTCACTTCAAATGAGTATGAGAAATACTAACTAGAGCAGGGCAAAATAAAGCCTGATCTTCTGGTCATGAACGTTCCTTGTTTGTTTTTCGGAAGATAAGACTTAATAAGACTAAGGCAACATTTGCATTACTAAGACCCAAAAAAAGACTGTGTTGACAATAATAAGGCTAAGACTTTGACTTAATCTAGAAAACTGAGACCAAGAACGAAGCCACGTCTGCAAGACTTGGCCAAATACATTGGATAGTATCTCCCAATTTATAAATGATCGCCAATATTTCTTTGGTCTTTAGAGACCATTATCAAGACTTTAAGACTTAACTTAATATAAAACAAAGGGCAATGCAGGGTCGAATGGTATTCAACAAAATAAAAAATCACTTCTATGTTCGCGGTCAGTTAATTCAGGAATTCGAAAAAAAGAAAAAGAGTACGGTCCTGTACGGGTTCGAAACGGGACGATGGGCACGGCGGAAAAGAAAAAGCTAGAAGCATTTAAAATGTGGTTAAAATAATGTTGTTTCTCTTCCTTAGGTGAGAACACCGATGGGACTTATCGGAAGTTGTGGTTGATATGTAATATTCTCAAAAATGTAGCCGAAGTCATAAAGTCCTTCACTGTGGTTGTAGGTACTAATGATGAGCCTCAGAACAACTCAATCTCACGTTAGTACAAAATCAGCAAAGGACTTTAGACCCTCGCTAACCACAGCTTATGGCGAAGCTTCGGATAAACGGCTTCATCGGTATTCTCACTGTAGGAGAAGAACTAATCCTAGGCTACGGCCATCAAATTTGAATATTGAGCAATTAGCCTTTTTAAGAGAGTAAGATAATTATTTATTGTTTTACAGGTTGCTCTTAATCTTGTTGGTGCAGCAGCAGTTATTTCAACTATAAACTGGAGACTACTATTACCTTCGATAGTTTTGTTTGTTTTTCTATATTTGATGAGAATATTATATCTAAAAGCTGGAAGAGGCGTACAGAGATTAGAAGGAGCAAGTAATATTTAATATTACATAACTTTTGTATTTTAATTTAATAACAATTGCAGTAAATTCGCTTTTGTATATGAACCTATAGCAACTTGATTTTTGGTGAAAAAAATCCTAACAAATTCACATTTCAGCACGAAATCCAGTTGTTGGTCATATGAACGCTTCAATAGAAGGTCTTCTAACAATACGATCCAACAAAGCTCAAAACTTTATGAAGAATGTATTCGACGAACGACAGGATATTTACAATTCGGCGACGTATATGGGTCTTGCAACTTCAAGGGCCTTAGGTTTATTTGCAGATATAACGACATTTATGTTTTTGGTTATGATTATCTGCTACTTTTTCTTTATTGCAAGGGGTAAGTAAAGTCTAATCACCGATGCTTCAAGTAATGTTAGGGTGTTTTCTATTGGTACCTATTGTAATTTGTAATCTGTTGTCTAATAACTAATAATAATCTTTGTTTTAAGTAATTAATAGTAAAAAGTAACTGTTCGTTTATGAATATTATAATAATGTTTCATAGGAGAGTTTGCTGGAAATGTGGGTTTAGCAATTACACAGTCATTTATGCTAACCGGTGTTTTGCAATGGGGCATTTGTCATTGGGCTGAACTAGAAACCAAGATGACTAACGTCCAGCGTTTGCTGGAATATGAATCGATTGAAAGTGAAGCAGATTCAGAAAACCACCCGAAAGAGTGGCCAAATAAAGGAAAAATTGAATTTAGGAAAGTCTCTTTACGATACAAACCGGACGGTAATAAAGTACTAGACGATGTTAACTTTACGGTCGAACCACAACAAAAAATTGGAATTGTTGGACGAACTGGTGCTGGAAAATCATCTATAATTGCGGTCATTTTCAAGCTCTACGAAGTAGAGGGGCAAATTTTAATAGACGACGTCGATATAACAAACGTGAGCAACGAAGATGTAAGAAACAGCATCTCAATTATCCCACAAGATCCAATTTTGTTTTCGGGAACGTTAAGAGACAATGTCGATCCAAAAGGAAAAAGCACAGACGCAGATATTTGGGATGCGTTAGAAAAAGTTGAAATGAAATCAACGATTAGCAATCTTAAGAACGGCATCGATACGGAAATTCCTGAAGGAGGTTCGAACTTCAGTACTGGGCAGAGGCAACTAATCTGTTTTGCAAGGGCTATTTTAAAACACAACAAAATCTTAGTCCTTGATGAAGCAACGGCTAATATGGATCCACAAACAGACGCATTAATCCAAAAAATTGTTAAGAGCCGATTTGAAGATTGCACTGTTTTAACAATAGCACACAGATTAAGTTCGGTAATGAATGCCGATAAAATCATGGTTATAGATAGCGGAAGAGTAATTGAATATGATGATCCGAACGTTCTGAAGGCCAACAGTGACAGTTTATTCCATCGAATGTTAAAACGTGCGGGATTAATATGAATTTTATAGTTAAAACAAAAATAAATTCATACACAAAACTTAAAATAAATATTTACCAAATTGTGTTTTGTTTTGCTAATCAATACCTAGAGTTTTGCCGCAAAAGTGTGTTGTTGCAAATAGGTTGTCTTCAGATTTGAAAAGCTGTGATAGGCCACGTTCTCTAGTTTGTCTATCTTCGAAAATATTCATTTAAATTACATGCTATAAAGGACCATATTGATCTTTATTAAATGCACAATGTATTTAAGGTACTTAATTGGATAAGAATTAATGCTGTATTGCCTATAATCGCTTCGTAAATGAGTCATTATTTCTCATAAAAAATAAAGGATAAAAATGGTTGTTGTGGGTTATTCCTCAGAGATACACATATACCATCCCGGACTTTTTTGTAGACCCTTTTAAGATGTACAATATTGTAGTACATTATTTTGATCTATCTCGTAGGGTTCAGCCAGCGTTTGCAATGTAAGCGCAAAAAATGTGTTTATTTACGACATCACATTAGAAACCTCTAAAATTATCAGTGTTTCCCTACTATATTATGCATGTATTATACATATAAACCTTCCTCTTGAATCACTCTATCTTTNATTATTTTCATCGTATTTATTTTTAACTTTTGGCATTGGCGCTTAACTTCTACGTGGGCGCTATTACACAAGAACACCCAATAATCTACATTAACAACCGCACTACTTGAACATTAATAAAGGTGTTGCCAAAATTATCAAGCACCAATATCTAGCAGTATAGTTTCAGTGGTCCTTTATTTAATCATCGAATTTTTTGGCTCACATGCCACAGCTTGTATCTTATTTTATCACACTTCATTGTTGTTCTAACTTTAGCAATTACTGTTTATTACTTTAATAATATCGTCATGGTAAGATAATGGTAAAAATAAAGAAAATTTTACCCTAAATCATTAACTTACTGCCAATTTGTATGCACATTCGACTACAAAATTTGACTTTAATACTTAATAGTGCTTGTTGTGTTTTATATAAACATATTTATATACTATTTATTATTTATTTGTTAGGTGTCGATAAACGTTCCCATTATTTGGGTCTTGGGAGGTCCAGGTTCTGGAAAGGGAACTCAATGTGATAAAATTGTCGAAAAATATGGTTACACTCATCTTTCAAGTGGCGATTTACTTCGCAAAGAGGTATACATAGTATAAATATTTTTTAATATGTGCTACTAATACTAATTACAAATAAATGTAAACAACATTCTAGAAAATTTGCTTCAATCACTAACAAATGTCTATTTTATAAACGATATTAAGTATCGACTTAATATATTTAAATTAACGCATATTTTGCATACCTACAACCACAAACAAATAGTTTTTAGTTTTCGCTATCACTTGTCAGAAGTTTTGATCCTTTGATCATTTGCCATTGTGATTTAACTGTTTTTAAATTAAATTAAAACTTTATTTCTAATATATGAACAGATTTTAGTTCGTATAGCTAGGTAGTTTGTTGATGAACGTTTTAATAAGTAATTCCAATGAAGTTTAGAATTATTATTGAATTATGGGAATATTTTTAGTTTCTGAATTTGCAGTTCTAGTCTTAAAGTTCGTTGTTCAAGTTTCGTAAACAGAGAAGAATTTCTGTCTCACTTAATCGAGGGCAAAACACGTCGAAAAAATTTAATTCTACAAGAGATAAAGATATGATGTAAATCCAAAAACTATAGCGTCGTAGCCTTCAGCTAGATGATACTCAGAAAAGATTATATGATTGTGGGCTATTTTAGTTTGAATTTTGCTCAAACAGCTTTATAAAAATCCTAGACTGGAAATCTATTTTTCTTTCGAAATTATTACTTTTTAATATTAATATTCATAGGGTATTAAGATTTAATTTGTTTTTTTTTTTTTAATAAATGACAGACGTGGACGTTCACGCCGAGAGGGCCCTCGGAACTTGTACACGGTGCGCGTCGCAACGCTTCGAATGCTGTCGTCATTTAAACTTCTAAAAAATTCAACTGAAGATTTTCTTTATTTTGAATTTGCAAATAATTTATCAAAAGTTGATATAGTCAATTGGGCGACTACAAAAGTTACAGACGGTCAAAGATCTCCTAAGATATTGGGTTTATGTTAACTTTGATTATTACCAAATTTGTTTGTGATATAAATTTACGTAGAACCAACAGTTTTCGAAATATAGGGCTGAGGAAACTAGGACATTGTATCGTATTCGTTGCCAGACCTTGATTATTGTTCGTCTTCGTGGACATTTTCTTCTTTCATATATTCATTTTCATCAACTACTTCAAGAATTTAATTATGTATTAGATAACGTATAGAGACATGACTGATTCCGACAAGAACCACACGCTATGGAACTTGGCAATACTACCTTTCTGCACATTTGATTCATGCCACAATCTTTTGTGCAATTCGAGGGAAATTGTAGACCCTCAGCAATAGGATTGGAGTTTAAACAATAATTTATTATAACAATAACAACTACTCTGATTCCCAAATTTTATTTTCTGCAATTGTATAAAAGGATTGCCATGACCGTACTGTCTGGATTTTGTTGAGACCACAGTCTTGACTTAAAACGATGTTTAACGGTGACCCAAATCTTCTTAATAATAACTTAAGATAGAAATGAGTAACGGGAGGCATGAATTTGACTCCTGAAGGGATTTTCCTGCGACACTGTATATATCGTATATTGTCAAACTGTTTCGTCACAAAAACCATTTTAATGATCTTTTTTGATCTCTTTTGAATAGGTAAATAGCGGCTCAGACAGAGGAAAAGAACTCAATGCCATAATGGAAAGAGGTGAATTGGTACCTGTTGAAGTGGTGTTAGACCTTTTGAAAGAAGCAATTCTAGAAAATTTGCCTCATTCAAAGGGCTTTCTTATAGACGGATATCCTAGAGAAAAGAGCCAAGGTGCACTTTTCGAGAAAAACGTTTCCCCTGTCACCGTTATTCTTTTTTTCGATGCATCTGAAGACACTTTGACAAAAAGGTTACTGCATCGAGCAGAAACGTCTGGAAGGGCTGACGATAATGAAGAAACCATAAAAGCGAGATTAAAAACGTTTAACGAAAACAACAACGAAGTTATTAGCCAATACCCTGATAAATTAAAAAGGGTACGTTAAAATTTGTTTTAAAAATTTATTAACAAGATTTACGTGTCCATATTTAAATATGTTTCGAGAATTGTATTTTTGCAAAATATTATCAACATTGTAACTGAATATTTATTATTTATTTTTGCAGATACAAGCAGAAGGAACTGTCGAAGGTTGTCTTAAAAATCTAAAATTCTGAAATAATAAAAGGAGAATTTCTTACAATTTAGTTAACATTATTTTCATCGTATTTATTTTTAACTTTTGGCATTGGCGCTTAACTTCTACGTGGGCGCTATTACACAAGAACACCCAATAATCTACATTAACAACCGCACTACTTGAACATTAATAAAGGTGTTGCCAAAATTATCAAGCACCAATATCTAGCAGTATAGTTTCAGTGGTCCTTTATTTAATCATCGAATTTTTTGGCTCACATGCCACAGCTTGTATCTTATTTTATCACACTTCATTGTTGTTCTAACTTTAGCAATTACTGTTTATTACTTTAATAATATCGTCATGGTAAGATAATGGTAAAAATAAAGAAAATTTTACCCTAAATCATTAACTTACTGCCAATTTGTATGCACATTCGACTACAAAATTTGACTTTAATACTTAATAGTGCTTGTTGTGTTTTATATAAACATATTTATATACTATTTATTATTTATTTGTTAGGTGTCGATAAACGTTCCCATTATTTGGGTCTTGGGAGGTCCAGGTTCTGGAAAGGGAACTCAATGTGATAAAATTGTCGAAAAATATGGTTACACTCATCTTTCAAGTGGCGATTTACTTCGCAAAGAGGTATACATAGTATAAATATTTTTTAATATGTGCTACTAATACTAATTACAAATAAATGTAAACAACATTCTAGAAAATTTGCTTCAATCACTAACAAATGTCTATTTTATAAACGATATTAAGTATCGACTTAATATATTTAAATTAACGCATATTTTGCATACCTACAACCACAAACAAATAGTTTTTAGTTTTCGCTATCACTTGTCAGAAGTTTTGATCCTTTGATCATTTGCCATTGTGATTTAACTGTTTTTAAATTAAATTAAAACTTTACTTCTAATATATGAACCGATTTTAGTTGGTATAGCTAGGTAGTTTGTTGAAGAACGTTTTAATAAGTAATTCAAATGAAGTTTAGAATAATCAGTGAATTATGGAAATATTTTTAGTTTCTGAATTTGCAGTTCTAGTCTTAAAGTTCGTTGCTCAAGTTTCGTAAACAGAGAAGAATTTCTCTGTCTCATTTAATCGAGGACAAAACACGTCGTAAAATTTAATTCTACAAGAGATAAAGATATGATGTAAATCCAAAAACTATAGCGTCGTAGCCTTCAGCTAGATGATACTCAGAAAAGATTATATGATTGTGGGCTATTTTAGTTTGAATTTTGCTCAAACAGCTTTATAAAAATCCTAGACTGGAAATCTATTTTTCTTTCGAAATTATTACTTTTTAATATTAATATTCATAGGGTATTAAGATTTAATTTGTTTTTTTTTTTTTAATAAATGACAGACGTGGACGTTCACGCCGAGAGGGCCCTCGGAACTTGTACACGGTGCGCGTCGCAACGCTTCGAATGCTGTCGTCATTTAAACTTCTAAAAAATTCAACTGAAGATTTTCTTTATTTTGAATTTGCAAATAATTTATCAAAAGTTGATATAGTCAATTGGGCGACTACAAAAGTTACAGACGGTCAAAGATCTCCTAAGATATTGGGTTTATGTTAACTTTGATTATTACCAAATTTGTTTGTGATATAAATTTACGTAGAACCAACAGTTTTCGAAATATAGGGCTGAGGAAACTAGGACATTGTATCGTATTCGTTGCCAGACCTTGATTATTGTTCGTCTTCGTGGACATTTTCTTCTTTCATATATTCATTTTCATCAACTACTTCAAGAATTTAATTATGTATTAGATAACGTATAGAGACATGACTGATTCCGACAAGAACCACACGCTATGGAACTTGGCAATACTACCTTTCTGCACATTTGATTCATGCCACAATCTTTTGTGCAATTCGAGGGAAATTGTAGACCCTCAGCAATAGGATTGGAGTTTAAACAATAATTTATTATAACAATAACAACTACTCTGATTCCCAAATTTTATTTTCTGCAATTGTATAAAAGGATTGCCATGACCGTACTGTCTGGATTTTGTTGAGACCACAGTCTTGACTTAAAACGATGTTTAACGGTGACCCAAATCTTCTTAATAATAACTTAAGATAGAAATGAGTAACGGGAGGCATGAATTTGACTCCTGAAGGGATTTTCCTGCGACACTGTATATATCGTATATTGTCAAACTGTTTCGTCACAAAAACCATTTTAATGATCTTTTTTGATCTCTTTTGAATAGGTAAATAGCGGCTCAGACAGAGGAAAAGAACTCAATGCCATAATGGAAAGAGGTGAATTGGTACCTGTTGAAGTGGTGTTAGACCTTTTGAAAGAAGCAATTCTAGAAAATTTGCCTCATTCAAAGGGCTTTCTTATAGACGGATATCCTAGAGAAAAGAGCCAAGGTGCACTTTTCGAGAAAAACGTTTCCCCTGTCACCGTTATTCTTTTTTTCGATGCATCTGAAGACACTTTGACAAAAAGGTTACTGCATCGAGCAGAAACGTCTGGAAGGGCTGACGATAATGAAGAAACCATAAAAGCGAGATTAAAAACGTTTAACGAAAACAACAACGAAGTTATTAGCCAATACCCTGATAAATTAAAAAGGGTACGTTAAAATTTGTTTTAAAAATTTATTAACAAGATTTACGTGTCCATATTTAAATATGTTTCGAGAATTGTATTTTTGCAAAATATTATCAACATTGTAACTGAATATTTATTATTTATTTTTGCAGATACAAGCAGAAGGAACTGTCGAAGAGATTTTTGCCAATGTGGAAGCGATTCTAGATAAATTATAAAATCAAATATTAGATACATATACTTATTTATTGTAGAAATGATAATATTATTGGTAGCAATAATTTTAAATAATAAATAAAACGAGTATTTGCAGTACCTGCATTCTTGAGTCCTTCCAAAGAGAAAGGACAATAAAATTGTTATTAAAAAATATACGTACGTATCTTCAGCAATTTGATGTTATATTTTTATTTTCAAAATATTGTAGTTATTGTTATAAATGACAAATACGTTTAACAGGACGGCTTATTACTGCAGTTAAAGGTCAAACACAGTTTTATAGTCGTTATTAGTGTTTTTATGTCGAATAAAACACTATTATTAGAAATAAATTTTTATGCTCTGTTTATCAATACTAATCGCACATTTAAATGTACACCACTGGCATCTTTTTGAAATAAAAGACTTTTTTGTATACCTATACTTTTACTTGTTTACCTTGCTTACGATAATATTCATTAATGTTTGACAAAAAATAAGGATATGGATTGATTGTGTAGTGGCTAGATTATTTTTATATTCATTTAAATTTAGTGTCAATGATGATTTCTGATTGTTCAATACGGAAAAGTTTCCTTTAATACAAACTGATGATATGCTGCTCGCAAAAAAGATCGCGGGTATTTTTTGTGTTGTAAATTAATGGCTACTAGCCACTAAAGATTGGTCGGGTATCTGGTTTGGATCCGGTACACTACCAATCCGGCACTTTCTTTAGAATCCGGACGTGCACCGGTTAATAACACCGAGTACCTTACAGTGTCGGCTAATTTTACCAAAAAAAAAAAAGAAAAAACAAACTCTAATCATAATAATTTAATAATAAGAAGAAACCTATCTAATCAAAATTGGTAACTAAGATTGTATTGGGATAGGTCGTTTGTCCTAATTGACATTATTATCAATTAAAACACTTGGAGTTTACATAGATATCTTCACCACCTGAAGAAGGCACAGTGTGTCGAAATAATTATAGTGGTTATAATAAATTATTTGTAAACTCCAAGTGTTTTTATTTTATTATTTTAAATATGGAGTTACATTACTTGAAAGCTTCATCGATTCAAT